GAGAAGGGGACACATCCGAGGCAGTGTTGTTTCAAAGGGAGTGAGCCCCGAGTCTGTGTTTGCTTTAAGACTCAGGGGGCCGAGAGCTCTTTGCAGTGGAGAGCTGGTTCCTCGCGCGTGGTCACAGCCCGTCCTGTGGTTTTGCAGCCCACGAGGTGAGCTGCCCGAGCAATCTATAAGAACCCATCGGCTTCGAGAACTTCCGTGGTTTCTGAGTCCCGGTCAGGCCATTTCAGCTTCCAAGCAGAGACTCCCAGGGCAGACTCATCATCTAGTCCTTTTCTGTCCTCCTCTGAATAGGGAGGGGGAGAAGGCTGCACCCCACAGCAGACCCCTGCTCCCCTTCAGTCTCTGCATGGAGTCCCAGCATCACAACCAGCCCCAAAGGGTAAGATGCTCAAGATGCGCTAGGGCGTTCCAGACCCATGTCTGCTTCTCTGTCTGGTGTCCTGTCTACAGATCGTATGGAGCCTTCTCCAGTGTCACCATGAACTTGATCTGGCCAATGCAGGGAGAAGGTAAAGAGGGACAGGAACACATGCTAGAGAAGTGCTGGGGTTATAGTCGTATGTGTGCTCTGCTGGCAAGTGAGAGATTCCCTTTCTCTCCAATTTCCCCCCCTTCTAGCTAGTCCCTGACAGCCGCCGCCCCCTCCCCGGCCTTCTGCACCATAGAAACTGTTCCAGGCCTGTCTTGCTTCCCTTTGCCCATGCCCATGGCGAAAGGGGAGTGTTCCACTGGCCCCAGCTGTTTCCTGTTCTTTTCATCTTGGGGCTGCTAATAAACACTGTTGTGTTCACTCAGGAATCCTGTCTCCTCCCCCTGGATCCATTTCCTCTTTTCATGAGAGTGCATGTGGGTGGGGTGGGTGGTTAGAAAAGTCTGGCTGGGAGACACCGCTTCATGGCTAAATGAGAGGCAATGTTCCGCTTTTGTTTTAACCAATGACACCTCTGAAAGGGACACCCACCCCCCTTCCTATTACTTATAATTGCTGCTCATATGAACCTAATTCAGAGGTCAGGCTCTGTCTAGCGCCTGGGGAGGGGAGCTCAGGGAGGCTGTGGGGTACTGGTTAAGAACATCTGGGTTTGTATCACAGCTCCGCCTCTGAGGACCTCTGTGATCTTGGGGGAGTTGCTTAATCTCTCTGGGCCTCTATTGGCCCAGATAATGGATGCTAATAACAACACTTGTCTCCACAAGATTGCCGTGAGGGTTAGTGAGGGAATCGGTGCCTGGGAAGTGGTCAGCACTCAGTGAATGTTAGGTCCCACTGACAGGTGTTAAATACCTCTCAGGGGTGGGGCATGCCTGGGTGCTGACAGCATTTCTCAGCCTGGTCCTTAGCTTTGGAGGTTCAGAAGCTGCAGTGCACCCAGGTTGCTCGGTCCTAGCAAAGTCTGTGCAAGAAGTCACGTTATCCATTAACAATGTTTTGGTGAACATGGCTTTAGAGCTGGGTGGAGGGCAGTGAGCAGCAGGAGGCTCTATGGCCTCATTTCTATCACAGGAACTGGCCCAGAAGCTCCCTGTGGCTGGTCTGGGAGCCCTGTGCTCCTGCACACACGGAGAAGGGAGGCAGACCCGACTCCAACATCCCCTAGGGCTGAGGTGGGTGGCTTGAATGGCTGGACAACCTCCTCCCCCCAGTAGCTTTTGGGCATTCTTTCAGATTCACCCTGGGATAGAGAAAAGTCTTCCCGAGCAAGGAGGCCTCATCTTCATTCAGGACTATGTAGAGGCTTCCCAGCCCCCATTAGAACTGCTCAGCACAGCAGGAGAACCCTGAACGGCCCAGCTGTCAGACTTCCCCCTCCTTGCTGTCCTCTCGAGCTCTTGAAGAGACTTCCTTCCCACAGCTCACAGTACAGACAAACAGGCCCCTGCTTTGGGCACACCTACGCAAGTGGGGAGGTCACCCTGGTTACACTGATGTTTGCTTGGGTGCTGCTTAGAGCGCAGGTCCCTGGGGTGTGCCTTCTGATACAGATGGCTGAGCTCACGTGTTCTGCAGCGATATTTTCCCTTTTTTTTTCTTTTTTAGGTTAGGAGCCCTTGGCAATCCTCCTCGAATATGACTTAATGATGTCCTTTGTTTTTTAGTAATTAAATACTTGTTGTTAACAACAAAAGCTGCATTTATTAATTAGCCAGTGTATTAATTGGGTGATTTTCTTTAATCCATACAACAACCCAATTACAATTTTACAGATGAGGAGACTGGAGCTCAGAGAGATCTGTAAAGCCAGTAACTGGCCCAAAATCTGGGCTCCCCCCACTCCCCAGTTGAAATGAAAACTATTTGCATTTACCTTTTGTCTTCCAAAACAAACTCTTAAAACCTTATTGAAGACCAAAGTTGGAAAACCCAGATATTTTGATGTGCATGAGCCCAGACGTGGCAAGGACAAAAATTTTGTGTTTTGTTTCATTTGTCAGTCTGCGTGGCATATCTGAAATCCAAGTCCTTCGTGAAAATGGGAACCACAGAAGTCAACAGCAGAACGGAGATGGTGTGAAAGGAGGTACTGTCCGGGTGAGAGACGCTGTCTGAACAGGGCACTGGCCAAGGAAGGATGGGAGAGAGATTAAGGGGTAGAATCAGTAGATGTGATTAATTGACATGGGCTGCCGTCCAAACACCTTCACTTAGGTGGTCACTCCAGCCTCAAGTGTAGTCATTCCCCTCACCGTGTCTGCTCTAGCTGGTTCCTAAATGTTCTTGCTCTGTCCAGGCTCCATGCCTCTGAATGCTGTGTTGGCTTCTGCCTGGACCACCATTCCATCACTCCAGAAATCTTGGGCTTCTTTGTCTGCCTCCCAAGCTACGAATGAACTCCTTGAAGAAAGGTGCTGAATCTCTTCTCTTGGAATCCCAGCCTCTGGCACAAAGCCTCAGGCACCACGAATGTTTGTTGAGCAGATCAATACATTAAAAAAGGATGCAGGGTGAAGAGGAAGAAAGGAAGTAAAGAGAGTATGAATGAAGACATCGGGCACACCGTCAGACCTTATTATAATCACTCCTCTCTCTGATGTTACATATTAATCCTCATTGGAGTGAGGCATGAGAGTGATCCGAATAGCAGGTGCCTCTGCTAGCTACCGGAACGCGAACCAAATGAAATGGGAACGGTTTAGTATATTCTAACATTCAGCCCCAAAAGTTTCCATGAGGCTGTCATCTGCGCCTTCTGCAGACATTGATGTAGGTGCAGGCTAGGGGCACCGAGAGCGAAGAGAGAGGTAGGAAGACAAGGGGGACAGAGCCCTGACAACCTGTCCTGAGTCCTGAGCTCCAGTCCTGGATGCATGGATAGCCGGTGAGATGGGCCTTTCTGCCAGCTCCTGCCAATTTACATTTGAAAATCTCTCTCTGTTTGCTTTGACTTTTTCTGTTCCTTCCTTGCTGTTTCCACACTCACTGATCCCCCAGGCCCTCAGGAGACCAAAATGTAAGCCAGAGCAGGAGATAGGGCTTGAATTAATTTCAGTGTCTCTGTGTCTTGCAGTAAAATAGAAAATCTTGCCTCTTAAGTCCTATTTGTCCTAGCCTGCTGTATTTTCTTATGTCCCTCCCCCATAAGTTAATTCTGAAAGAAGACTAATGTCTAAATATTCTATGTGAAGTCTGGTAGTGTCAGCACATAGGTTGGGGGTCAGGCAGATATTATCACTTTTGTAGCGTGACCTTGGGCAAGTTCCTTGAAAGCCCCTCCAAAGCTGGCTCCATCTACCTTCCTGGAAACTGGATAACCTAGTACCATCTGCAGCCTGGCTGCTGCCTACCATACCTGCAGCAACAAACTCACCTCATATTTCTTTTGTGACAATTACTGTAATTAAAGCACTAGAGTTCTCAGCTCACAGGTGGGGCAGGCTAAGAGCTCGCTGTGGTGTGTAACTGTGAGTACCTTCGGCACGGGGCCAGAGCCGCCCCTACCCCATGTGGTCAGTGGCGTGGGTGGTTGCCCCTACCCCATGCAGTCAGTGGCGTGGGTGGTTGCATTCTCTTTATCCTTTGTGTTTTGGTAGCAATCTGGGATGTTCTCCCTGGTTCTGGCCTTCCACTATCCTAATCTCTTATTTCTTTCTCATTAAAAAGAAGGGTGGGCTTGGAATAGCTGGAGTCCCTGGGATCCCAGAGGCAGGGATCCAGGAGGCCAGGCGTGAGGATCTACCAGCTGCACTGAATATGCAAGAAGCTCTCCCCCAATTCAGCTTTTGAGGAAGAAACGGCCACACAGGCCAAGGAAGCTGGCAGCTCACTTGCTCTGGGCCAGAATGATAGCAACACAGCTGGGTTGACTGGCTATCTCATGCTGATCACAGGCTCCAATGGGCAATTATACATGTCTTTGATTAATAAAAAATGGGGCAATAATGAATACTTAATCAACGCAGTCTGGCGGGGAGGCCTTTTCAGAACCTAGGCTGGGGGTGAGGCAGGGAATAATAAAAATGGTCCTAGGAGGCAAAGAGGCAAGGGCACCCCAGGGGTGGTTCTGGAAAGCAGTCCAGTCCCTGTCCTCGGGTCTCTGACAGATCCTGCGCTGTGCTTGAGATTTGCTGGCCACCCGGGAGCATGAGATTAGGAGAGAGAGTTGAGCTGGTGGGCAAATGGGGGGAAATGTGTTTTGTGCCCACCCACAGGGTCAAAGAAAAACACAAGGAACAGGGTGTGTGTGTGTGTGTGTGTGTGTGTGTGTGTGTGCGCGCTGTGAGTGTGTGGTCCGTTTGGTTCCATGGGTCTGTCTGTACCTGCGACGGTATTAAAACTAACTTGTCTGGGAAGGAAGGAGGGGTCAGGGAGCTGGGAGGCTGAAAGAGCGTCGAGAGAGGAAAAGGGCAGTTGCTGGGGTTAGAGGTAGAGACAGTAGAGAAAAATCCGAAGGCACCATCAAATGTGCCACAAACTGCACGTCTGGAGGAGAAGGAAGTGATGATGGAGAGTGGGAGGTGCTGGACTTCCCGGGACGCCGCCCCCGCTGTGCCGGTCCTTCCGGGCTCCGGGGCAACCGCACAGCAGGGAGGGGCACAGCCACAAAGTGGCGCGAATCCGAACAACCGGAGAGCCCGGAGGAGGCCGGTAGGGCGCGCGCACCGGGGAAGGCTTTAGCAGCTGTGGCCACCGGGGTAGGGACAGGACGGGACGGGGTGGAGTGGGGAGGCGATGGACCGTGAGGCCGCTGAGCCTTGGGGTGCTTCTGCATGTGGGCGGGACCTGCGCCGAGGGATGCGGGTGGGGGTGAGGGCTGGGCCTCCGGGCGCCGTTTTTCCCGGCAGATGGTGATGAGAGGAGGGACCGCGGGAGGGGACACGGGAGTCCTAGCTGAGGGTCAGGGAGGAAGGATCCTGTTGGAGTTGGGATATTTTGGGCGTTGGACTGGCTCACCTTGTGACCAACCCATGTGATGTTGGACAGGTTGGCAAAATACCCTGGTTTTCTTCCTTGTTAGTAAAGGAAACACCAAGTTTGCCAGAGTGTGGTGGGGATTCGCAAGCACAGGTGTAAAGTCTCCGCAGCCCCGTGACTGAGTGCGGAGCTGCTGTCATTTCTGCGGACCGTGTCCAGAATTTGGGCGCAGTCCCCACTTCCTACCTGCTGCCAGCTATGGTAGCATGTGAGGTTTAGCAGCTGTTTGCAACAGCTGGCCTGAATCCCCAGCCCACAGAAAATGTTTCCTCCATCTCTGCTTCTCCCAGCAGCCCCCGCCCCTCACCAGGCAGCTTCTGCCTTCTTTTACAGGGTCAGAAGACACACCCAACACAAAGCCCAGAACAGCGGGGACTGGAAAGCTCTGTGAGCCGAAGGCCAGGCCGCCAGAGGAAGTTTCAAGTGCTCCAGCCCCAGGCCGTGCACCTCCTGTGGTCAGTGCCAGTGGGATCTGAGGATCAACTGTACCCCAGGCCATGCCAGGCCAGGGACTGCCCCTGCACGTAGCCACCCTGTTGACAGGGCTGTTGGAATGCCTAGGCTTCGCCGGCGTCCTCTTCGGCTGGGCGTCCCTGGTATTTGTCTTCAAAACAGAGCATTACTTTGAGGAGCTGTGTGAGCCGAATGCCGGGCTGCTGGGCAATGCCACGGGCCAAGATGGTAAGAGAGTGATGTCTTCTGTAGGCTGTTGAGTCTGGTTTCTAAGTGGTGGGAAGGGGTAGGAGGGACTCCACCTCCTGTCCACCCTGCAAGCTTTGCTGTGGAGAAAGGAAGGGACTGTTAGCCACCTTCCTCCGTGCCCTAACCTTAGTCTAAGGGCTGCCTGGGGAGGGAGTTACCAGCTTCCGAGGGGTAATTAGGGGTAGTCACATTTCAACTCATCTAAGGGAGAACTTTCCACCAGGTAAGTTGTTTGAGATGGCAGGGGAGCCAGGCTGCGTGCCTGCCCGGCAGGAAGACTTGGGTGGATGAGAGGTTGGCCCACCCACGCTGGGCTCCTGAGTTCTTCCTGTGTCTCCTCCAGATTGCAGAGCCCAAGATGAGAGGTTCTCCCTCATCTTCACCGTGGCATCCTTCATGAACAACTTCATGACCTTCCCCACTGGCTACATCTTTGATCGTTTCAAGACCACCGTGGCCCGCCTCATAGCCATGTAAGTCCCAAAGGCCCAGCCTGGCACAGGTGGGCAAGAGGAATTCCTCTGGCAGCAGCCTCACTTGGAGGGAAACCCAAGTCAGGTAGCTGGGCAGCCCTCCCAGGCCCTGCCCCAGCAGCTCTGTTAGAAACAGCCCAGGGTGAGTCTCATCTTCTCAAAACCCTGCTCCCTTTCCTCCCTTCCTGTTTCCGCTCCGTGGGACTGTGTGTCTTACAAGGCCTCACACCCAGGGGGCTCAGGCTTAATCATCCTCCTCCTCACCCTCCGTTATCCCTCGGAGACCTAGCTGTTTATGTCTCATGGGGATCTCCTGTGGCAGAACTTTGGGTCCCTCTGACTGGAAGGGAGGCAGTGGGGGTTTCCCATGCACATGAGTCAGGGAGGGTCATGGGCTTTATCCTGTTCACACAGGTTGCTGCAGCAACTGGTGTGTTCAGTGATAAGCAGTGGCCTGCTGAGGGCCAATAGGACCTGAAGCAAGTACCTCCAGGCAGGCATGTGAGAGATTAATTGTCAGGCAGAGGAACTGGAGGGCAGGCTGGGACAGGAAGTCACCAGAGAGTAAAATAAATCCCTTGTTCTTGAAGCACTTGGATGCATAATGACTTTATCTCAGTTTCTTGGTCTTCAGCTCCCCATCTCCTCCTCTTCCTTCCCCTTTCTCTTCTCCAGTGTTAGCATGTTAAGAAAATCTCCGTTTCCCTTTCTGTGTTTCTGCTTTACTTTCACACAGAACACTTCACTGCTGACACGTCTGGTCACCAGTCTGTGAGTTTTCCCACACTGAGCAGTTCTGCTGCAGGGGCTGAGTGTGCTACAGTGTAACTTAATTCTGACTCTTCTGCCTGGAGACAGCTCAGATCTCACAGGTTAAGGGCTCAGTCCCATGAAACTGCCCCCCATTTCAGATGTCTCAGGTGGTAGGTCCCCTGTGTGTGGGAGAGGAAAATTTCCCTTCTTTTCACTCTTGCTGGCTGGTCTAGTAATCACATTGACATGAAGCAGATTAGCAGGAGAAAATAACGGAATTTAATTACCTGTGGGCAGACAAGGGTTCCATAAGAATATGGGGCCCCAAATCAGGCAGTTGAGGCTTATCTGTCATCCTGAGCTAAGAAGAAAGGGGGTGGTGTGGGGTAGCAGTTTGGGACTTCAAAAGGGGAGGAAGGCAACTCGCTGGAGGTGGAAAAGCAAATGTTTGCTGGGCCATCTTTAACAATGGGACACAGAGGGGACTTTGATCAAACAGCTTGTTAGGTTCTCCCCTCTCACACGCTAGTTCAGATTAAAAGGTGGCTGTCTGTGATGACACCTTCCTTCCCGAGGCGGTCCTCTGAATCTTCTTAGGCAGTGAGGGGGACGTCAAAGGTTCTTTCTGAGTTTTTTGTTTCTTAAAAACAACCAGCTTAAAATAATCGGTGTCCCAAAGAGGCGTATTTTGGGGTGGCAAACTCTGCTCCCCTTCACCGGGTTACCTACAACTTCTGTCCAACTTGGCCACAGATCAGAGGATCCCATGAACTCCTCCCCTTTGGATTTGATTATCTGATAGAACAGTGAATTCCGGGACACAGTACTCATGCTTACTAGTTGATTAAAGGACATGATGAAGGCTACAGATAAACAGCCAGGTGAAGAGACACATATTAGCCATTCTCAGAGAGCATTCAGGTAAAGGAAAATGCAGCTTCTGTATGTAAAGCTGGGAGGGTCCCGAGCCTGAACCCCGTACTGTTGAGACCCACTGGAGGCTTCCTCAGGTCGGCATGATCAATCATTAACTCCATTCCTAGCCCCTCCCCCCTCTTCAGACAAGTGTGTGGGGGACAGGGCTGAAAATTCCAAGCTTCTGCTCATGGCTTAGTCTTTCTGATGAGCAGCCCCCATCTAGGAGCCCAGCCAGAGTTGCTTCATCAGAACAAAAGTTCCTCTAGTGTGCTCTTATGACTTAGAATTTACAAGGGTTTTAGGAGCCCTGTGTCAAGGGCTGGTGACAAAGACCAAAATATATTATAAAATCATAGCATCACAGTTCGCCCCCTGGTGTGGGAGCATGGACTTATAGCAAAGCAATCATAAGGTTCAAAAGATATGGCGCATTACTACTCCCATCCAGTCCATCATCATAGCGTATCAAATGTCTCTCAGGGCCCCTAGGCATGGTGTCAGCAGTTTATGTCTTCACCCTGTGTGGCAGCTGGTGTAATTGCGCTAAGAGACAATGTCATCTCTTGCCCGGGGCCTCTTTCAAGGTGTTAATATAACATTGGACTTCCCTCGCTACATAATGCACTTACTCATCCCCTTACCTTCCGTTACTGTTCCTCCTTCCCTCCATGTATACCCAGACATTTCCACTGTGCTGGTCTGGATTGCAGTACTGGTCTAGCAAGTTCCCTCCCTCATCTCAGTCCACTTCCAGCATCAGTTTCTCTCACCAGCTCTGTGCAGGGCCTTCCCCCCAGGGGATCTGCCTCATGGCCATCTTTGGTCTCTGTCTCTTCTGCTGGCAGCTCTTACTGGACTTTTGTGCCTCAAGGGTTACAAGAGGACAATGCCTAGGCCCAGCCCGTCTGTGCATTGCTGCAGCAACCCACGTTCACTCATTTTATGGATGCAGGTAGTCACCTTAAGCGAGCATGTAGGGACATAGGCTTGTTGAGTCTGTCATTCTCTGAACCTGGACAGGGCTCTTCGCATGGACATTTACATGCCCTACTGCATTCCTCAAATGCCATAGTGATTTCCACAGGGCTATCTCCCCGTATGGGCACCCCTTTAATAGGCCACGTTTGCACTGCCCTCTGTCTGACCCAATGGCCAGGTCATTATGGGTCAGGTTTTTACCAGTCAGTAAAAATCCCAGCACGGGCTATTTCCATCGTTCAGTTCTTCCATCTTTGCTGGGAAAACAGCCTGCAGCTCAGCCCCTGGGCTGATCTGCTCTTACCTTCTCAGATCAGAGTGGTGGCCTTCCAAACTGGGTGTTGTCCACGCCCCAGGGAACTGCCTTTCATAAGCCAGGCAGCTCCGTACTGGCCAGTTAAGGGTCCTTTGTCAGGCAGTGTCCAAGTGACAGGAGACTCCAGCAGCTCCCTACCCAGGTGTAGGGTCAGACCTGGGGGAAGAGAGGCTCCCGGCTTGGCAGTGCCTCCTCCTTGTGCTCCCCAGGCTGCGTGGTCCTGTATTAACCATTTCACTAGGGAAGTCTCCTGGCTCTGCCGCCCCGTTACAGCGTTTCTCCAACATCCTACTAGACGCTGTGGCTGTTTTCAGGTTTTAAGATCATTTCATGTTCTTCAGTCATCTGTGTAGCTTCAATTAAAGTCTGATGACAAGATAATAAATGCCTCTCAGATGGCAGTTCCCTAGTTCAAAGCCCACTAGTTGTCACTGGGAGGTGCCCACAGGCTTTGCCATCACCCCGGGCCCAGGCTCCACATGGGCTCAGAGGGCTTGTCCCCACCGGCACTCCCGCTTCTGTTTCACACGCTGGGGACTCAGGTGCTCTTCCTGGCGCCTGTGCGGCATGTCCGGGTCACTCGGCTGGAAGGGTGGATTTGCATGCCTCTGTCTGGCCATCCCAGGCAGGGGCACTGTTCCCCAGCCAGACAGCGTCCACCCCCCGAACACAATCAGGTAAAAGACATTACCACTTCACATCAATCCTGTTCAAACTTACCAATTCTCCTGCAAACGTTTTTGTTAGAGTAAGTTTTTATTGGTTTTAGAAAGAGAGGGAGAGAAGAGAAGAATCAGTGTGAAGGAGAAACGTCCGTCGGTTGCCTCCTGTACTATGCGTACCCTGACCAAGGATGGAATCACGACCTGGGCATGTGCCCGGACTAGGACTGGAACTGGAGACCCTTTGGTGCACAGGACGGTGCTCAGCCAACTGAGCCACGTCAGGCAGGGCTGGCCTACAGTCTTTTACCCTGACTCCATCAACCCTATGTGCTTGCTCACTGTAGCCTCCGTGAGGATGGTACCCCCAGGAATTGTGACCACACTAGGCAAGGGGCGTGTTCCCCAGGGTGACACATTAGCCACTCTCAGAAAACATCCACGTAAACGTAGCATACTTCTTCACATAAAATCTGATGAAAGACCGCAACTTCGCAACCCTATTAACTCTTACATTTTCGTGTTCTCTTGTAAAAATCGTCACCCTCATTAGGGCTTCACCAGTAGGTTTTGGTACCCTGGTGGGTGAGGCTGCTATTTCAGGAGTCCTGAAAACTTCTCCTTGCACCCTGATATTTATCCCCTCTTGTGCAGAAGGCTTCGGGTCCCCAGTGAGGGGTCAAGGGACTCTGGCCCTGTTTCCAGCTTTAACTTGATTATTCTGCCCCAGCAATGGCTGCTCAGATTTCTCACCGTCATCTCTGTGTCCAGCTTTAAACATTTTTCTAAACTGGAGTCAATAGACTGGACTTGTTTGGGGGCGCTTTAAGGCTGGGGGACCCGCAGGGAGTCCCCTTGGCCCACCCAGCTGCTGGTGGTTCATCCACACCTCTGGTGTAAGGCCCGTGGTGCTGGCAGGATGGGCAAGTGTTGGCATTGCATCCGGCCAGGGGGCTTCCTGGCCAGGACGAAGTCTGAGGTGGCTGGGGAATGGCACCGGGAAGCCCACTGGGCCCAGCCTGAAGCCCAGCCCTTTTGGAGCCACCCCCATGCGAGCAGGGCGGTGCCGGGAGAAGCGGGGTGGACGCCAGAGCGCCCCATTCCAGCGGGGCGGGCTCCGGCTGCTGGAGGAGGGCCAACATCGCGGCCTGTGTGCCCAGGGACGACTGCATGTTATTGGATTTGGTCGCAAAGGTCAGTGTGTTGGTGACATTCCTGGAGTCTGCTTTAAGGTTGTCACAGTAGCCGGTGTCTCCTTGGTCTTGTTCAGGGGCAAGGAGGAGAGGCCACGGCTGGGAGTTCTGAAGGTGGAAACAGGACTGCTTGCTGTGTTCTCCTGGCTCTCCTCTGCCTCCCCATCCTCTGTTAATGGACCTCATGTAGTTATGAACATCTGTGAGACCAAAGGGCCCCCTTAACCACAGCGTTCACCATGACCTGGGTAAGGGGCATAGTCAGCGGGTGACTGTCCTGGTCATCCTTAAAGTCACCCCCACGTGGTTTGCACACAAAGCGTAGCAGCTGCTTCCTCTGGGGTGCTCCACTTCGCATAGATGGGGGACAGGGACCCTGCAGTGGCTTTTATCCAGTGCACCAGACTGGCCACTCCCTCAGGAATAGGCCCTTGCATCTGGGTCACACACAGACATCTGTGGTTGTTCCCTAGGGAGCTGTGGGGCCTCCATCTACCCAAACGTGTGCTCCCCTCACCCCCGCAGCATTCAAAACCAAAGACACAGCCCCAGTTAATGACCCTCACAATCCATTTCAGTAGCGGTTCCTCGGGAAGCGGATGGTACTGATCCACAAGATCAAGCAGGACCTTCACACTAGGCCCCCTGGTTTCAGTAGTATCTTGGTTTTGCTCTCCTCCCGCACCGACTGCCTTCTCGGTGCCCAGAGGTCTCAGAGGTCCTTCTGTTGTCCCTGCGTACTTTTCCCTTGGCGGGGTAGCTTTGAGGCTATGGCTGCAGCTCAGCCTGACCCAGCTCTGAACTTGGTCTAGCCTCAAGGTCTGACCTAGCAGTCTCTTTTAATTTCATTTTAGCTACTACAAATAACAGCGACCAAGAGACTGTATTTCACCTTTTCCTTATTAGTTTGTATTCTCTTATGCATCCAGTGAACCAATTCCCCGAGAGTGGGTCCATCTTTAAATTCTGTTGGCAATTTTACCTTCAGTAACTGATTTTAATACAGCAGCAGCTCTGTACCCTGGGGGACCGTGTGGTCACCCAGGAATCAAAGGTTCTTCATCCCACACCCTTTCATCCTTTCTCTTCCCAAACCACATGCTTCCACGAGCCAGGGTCATTCTGGCAAATCCCACCTCACTGACAACAGCGGTACCGGAAAAGCCTGCAGTTTGCCTTTCTCCTTTCCCTTCACACAGAACACTTCCCCTGACGCTTCCGGTCACCGAATGTGTGGGGAGTTCTCTCACACGGCGCAGTTCTGTGACACCAGCTGGGTGTCCTACAATTTTTTTTTTTTTTTTATTTTTTATTTTTAATCCTCATCCGAGGACATTTTTCCATTTTTTGTACAGACAGAGTGGGAGGGAGAGAGAGGAAGAGAGAGAGAGGGAAACATCGATGTGAAAGGGACACATCGAGTGGCTGCCACCCGCACGACCAACCAGGGCCGGGGACAAACTGCAACCGAGGTACGTGCCCTTAGCGGGAACTGAACCCGGGTCTCTCCGGACCGCAGGCCGACGCTCTAACCGCTGAGCCAAACCGGCCAGGGCGGGTGTCCTACAATTTAACTCAATTCTGACATTCTCTTGCCCAGCTAGTGTGGCTCAGCGGTTGAGCAGAGACCCATGCACCAAGAGGTTGCTGGTTCGATTCCCGGTCAGGGCACATGCCCGGGTTGCAGCGAATTGATGTTGATGCTTCTCTCTCATTGATAATTTCTCTCTCTCTTACTCTCTCTCCCTCTCCCTCTCCCTTATTTTCTCTTTAAAAATGTCAATAAAAACATTAAAAAAAAATTCTGACAGTCTCTACCTGGAGGTAGCATCAGATCCCATGAGACTGCCCTCCACGTCAGACGCCAACCACAAGTGGTCGGTCCCCAGTTACCCACAACTTCTGTCCGACTGACTACAGATTAGAGAGGTTCCATGACCCCCACTCCTGCCCCTTGGACTTAATTATTTCCTCGAGCATCTCACCGAAGGAAACACTGGCTTACATTTACCAGTTCATTAAAGGACACGATGAAGGATACAGATGAACAGGTGCATGGGGTCAGGTCTGGAGGGTCCCGGGCACAGGAGCTTCACCAGCCTGGAAGCTCTCCAAACCCCTTACTGTTAGGATTCTGAGAGGCCTGTCACGTGGACGTGATAAGTCATGAACTGCACTTTCAACCCCTGCCTCCCCTCTAGAGAAGTTGGGGGAGGAGGGACAGGTGATGACTGCCCAGCTCTTAATCATGGCCTGGTCTGTTACGTGAGCAGCCCGCACCCAGGAGAGAACCCAGAGGCAGCTCAGCAGAACAAAGGTGCTCCCAGGTTCTCATCACTTGGGAATTTACAGGGTGTTAGGAGCCCTGTGTCAGGGGCTGGGGACAGAGACCAAATAAATTTTTCTTATTATAAATCACAGTATCACACCTAGGTCGTACTTTTTATTTTTTTAATCCTTGCCTGAGGATATATATATATTTTCTATTTATCATCAGATAGAATGGGAGGGAGGGAGGGAGAGAGAGGGAGAGAGAGATATTGATGTGAGAGGGACATATTGACTCGTTGCCTTCTGCACAACCCAACCAGGGCCGGGGACGAAACCACAACCAAGGTACGTGCCCTTGACCGGAATCAAATCCACGAGTCATTGGTCTGCGGGCCAACACTCTAACTGCTGAACCAAACTGGCCAGGGCTAGGCACTACTTTTCTTACCTCATATGCTTTCAAGACACCCAAACTGCTGAAAGATCCCCGTAGCCTTGGGATCGTGGACCTGAAATTATAGTACCCTAGAACTTTGAGCTTGCGGTCTAGATCAGTCCAAGCATTGCCCTTCATAGAAAAGGCTCAGTGAAGGGCAGTGCCTTGCCCAAGGGTACGTAGCCAAAAGGAATTAGGATTCGAGGTTTCCAGGCACTGACCTCTTTCTCCAAGGGATTGGCCTGTGGGGACATCACCTGCTCTGCCCTTGCCGGTTTCTCTTTTCTGGACAACGTTCTCCATCTCCCATTATCTATTTCAGATTTCTCTACACCTGTGCCACGCTCATCATTGCCTTCACCTCTGCAGGTGAGTGCTGTCAGGTGGGAGGGAGGGGCGCCTTGTGGGTGGGGCCAGTGCGGGAGGTGAGGGCAGCACACTCTGACCCCCCGTGGCTCTGCAAAGACCCACAGACTCTGAGCCTGAAAGAGTCCTTGGTCTATGGCAACAGCTTAGAAATGTGAAATTTCTAAGTGTACTGAGAAATGTGAAAAGTAGGGACAGTGGAGGCATGGCTCAAATAGCAGAGTTTGTTCAAAAGATTACATTCTTCCTCCGGGATGTTTTAAAATGCTCCGTCTCTTTTATTTATTTTTATTTATTTTTTTAATCCTCACCCGAGGACACTTTTCCATATTTTGTTCAGATAGAGTGGGAGGGAGAGAGAGAGAGAGGAAGAGAGAGAGAGAAACATCAACATGAAAAGGACACATCGAGTGGTTGCCACCCGCACAACCCAACCAGGGCTGGGGACAAACTGCAACCGAGGTACATGCCCTTAGTGGGAACCGAACCCGGGTCTCTCTGGACTGCAGGGCAATGCTCTGTCTCTTTTGAAAATGACATGATTATATGAATATCAGTGGCTCTTGCAAACAGCCTTACTCAGCAGGGTAAACATTACCACCTTATGGTAGTCAAAAGTTGTCTTTTCAAATGTTACTGGTCTGCAAATAGAAAATCCCCCAAGTCTGGGCATTCCATTCTAGCTCACTACCCCTTCCTCCATGACGTAGAGGAGAAAACTGAAGCCAGAGGGAGGCCCCTGGCAAAGTCTTGCCCTGGGACCCCTGACTGGCCAAGAGATGCCTTCCAATATTACGCTCCGGTGCCAGCTCACGTGGCTCAGTTTTGGGGTTAGTGACAGCACATAGCTGGTGTGTGTGGTACCTGTGCTGAAGCTGGAAGGCGACACAGGTCACCTCCACTGGTGCCCAGTTCACACAGGCTGGGTGTCTCTGTCCAAACAGAGCTCATGCGCTAGCCCGGCACCTGGAGCCAGTTATTGCAGACCACCCTCCTCCTTAATCCAGCTTCATCTTCCTTCAAAGCTTGCAAAGGATTTTCAAGGGGCTGAATGCGGAGGGGATGGCTGGGGATGTTCGTCTCATTTGTGAATCATTTGAGCAACATCCCTCCCCCCCATAACGTAGAGCTTTTTGTTTTTGGGAAAAGTGTTGGGGTCCGGCCGGTGTGACTCAGTGGTTGAGTGTCGACCCAGGCACCAAGAGGTCACCGGTTTGATTCCCATGTCAGGGCACTTGCCCGGGTTGTGGGCTCGATCCCCAGTGGGGGGCATGCAGGTGGCGGCCAATCGATATTCTCTCTCATCGATGCTTCTATCTCTCTCTCCCTCTCCCTTCCTCTCTGGAATCAATAAAGAAAAAAAAAAGTGTTGGAACCACACCGACCCTATTGTGAAACGAATCACAACCAACCTTTTGGGACTTAGGACATGTTTACCTTTTATAAAGTCAGAAATTGAAAGGTAAACAGGGAGAACACACTTTACCTGCTTTTCAAGGTGTAGAACCATCATTAGTTACTTCAGAGGCTATTAGGAAAAACACTTGCTGCATTAACAAATGCCGAGTCACCCACCTGGTGGAAAAGCTGTTCCCTTTTTATTCCCCTCTGAGTCCTCTGATTTCATGAGTGGAGGCCTTGATGTGGGGCTGGTGTGACTTGAACACAGGCGGGAGCAGGTATCAGGCAAATGCATCCAGTTGCAACGTAATGATACTGTTTTCCTTTCACTGTATTTATTTTTGCAGTTACTTGCTATTCATGACAAGCAACGCAGGTTGCTTTTCATGGACAACAGGGATAGGAAGTTTCCTTTTAAAATAATAGATTTCTTTTGGATAAGATCATGTTAGCAAATGCTAGTGTTATGGGACAGGACCGGGCCTGGAGCAGGTCTGTCTCAGGCTGGCCGGTAGTGTGTGGGTTCCTGACTTTGTGCAGGAAAGATTTCACAGCGTGAGTCCAGGGGACTTTGAGAGCGCATCTACTGAAGCTGGGGACAGTGAATCAAGGAAAAGCTTAGGGTAGAAGAAGCAACAGGAGAGAGCCTAGGCGTGCTCTGTTTTGCTTCCTAGAAATGTTAGAGGAAGGAAGTGAGCCTAGGAGGGGCTGCTGTCAGCTCACTGAGAAATCAGAGAAAAGGGGGCCTTGGAGGGCAGGTTCAGGGGGTCAGCCCAGGATGAACTGCCACTGCTCTTTGCCCCCTGGTCGCAAGTCTCATGGGGACCTAGAGTTTAGGAGAAAGAAAGTAGAAGCTCATGGCTGAGAAAGGCGTGGACATGCCCCAGAGCGAGCTGGCGCTGGCATTTTGTCTTGAGGGTTTTGATCTCTCTTCTGTGGGCAAGAATCTTGGGAGGGTTTCAGCAGAATATTCATCAGCTTTCCGTGTGCATTTTTAATATGCTGATGCATCAAAATAAGCGTATAGGGGACTTTGGGATTATTCTTTGGTCTGCTTTACGGCTTTACTTTTATCTTGGGTCTGTCCAGCTCCAGTCGGGTTTTTGTTGTTTGTTTCCCTGACTTCATCCATCCTTGGGCGTGGCTGCACAAAGGACATTAACTGGGTCTCTGTCCTCTACCTCCCTGACTAGGGTGATTTAAGCTATTTATTCTCTGGTTAGGGAGGAGAGTTATGAACCATTTGTTCTCAAGTGTCCTTGGTTAAGGGAGATAAGGTCTTGTGATTCACTAAGCTGGCTGAGCGTTGTTCAGACTATTTGGCCTTGTTTAATGGTCTTGTCTCGGTTTCCCCATTCCACTCGCCCGGGAATTTTCCCAGCTTCTTACTATCCTGCCTCACTGGGACAGGCATGGGTTATGGCAGGAATCCTGCAGGTGTGTAGACGTTTGTGGTTTGGGAAAGACTAATTATTAAGCCATCCCCCAACCCTTGGAATTTTAGTTGTTCTGCTATTTCTAATACTTTCCAGACCTATTGTAATGACTTTTTTTTTTTTTGGCGTATCAGCTTTTTCAAAGGCAAGAAGTATTCTTTACTCAACCTGCATTTCCAAAGCTAAGCACAATGCTGGCATAAAGGAGGTGCTCCAAGTTTTTTGAACAAAGGAAGGATAATCCATGGCCATTTTCTCACTGGGGTCTCACAGCACCTAGGAGGCAGGAGGAGCAGGGGACTGGGTCACAGATCCAGAATCCCACTCAAAGTCGTGCAGTGAATGAGGGGCTGGGCTTGGGGGCTGAGTCCTGGCTTCTCCCCCACAGTGTCAAGGAGGAGTAGGGGCTCGCGGGCTGCTTTGGTTTAGTGAGGGCAGGGAGCAGGGAGTCCTGCCTGCCTGTAGGAGACCCAGGGCTGACACAGACCAACGACCCACTTTGGTGGGGTAGAAGGTGGCTCAGGAAACCTCTCTGGGGTCCCTCCGTGGGGACTTTTGGGGGAGCTCTGACCAGTATCTTAAGATCCCAATTTCTAGAGGGCTGGCTAGAATTAGGGCCCTGCATCCAGGGTTGTTGGGAATTTGGAACAGGTGGGAGCCACAATTTGAGGCTCCGTGTTTGGGTCGCACTGTGAAACCACCCACCTCTGTCTGATTGTTCCAGGCTCAGCCGTGCTGCTCTTCCTGGCCATGCCCATGCTCACCGTCGGGGGAATCCTGTTTCTGATCACCAACCTGCAGGTGGAAGTCTGCCCACAGCCCAGGCACCTGGCGGGAGGCTGGGGAGGGATGAGGAGACCAAACACTTTCCATATCAGCTGCCTCAAATGGGGGCTGGCCAAAGCCAGGGAAGTAGCTGCTGGGTATAATGACGGCCTGGCACAGGTAAGTGATTCAGGCTGGTCACGTGTTCTCCAGGTTGGGAACCTATTTGGCAAACACCGCTCGACCATCATCACCCTCTACAATGGAGCATTTGACTCGTCCTCGGCCGTCTTTCTTATCATTAAGGTAACAATGAGCAGCAGCCAACATTTATGGGATGCTTACATGTGCCGGACACTTGTCTAGTAAACTTTGCAGGATTTCTCTCCCTCAACCCTTCTGCAGCTAGTAGCATGACCTTTGAACTTGAAGCCAGGCCTGTCTGGTTCTAGAGCCTGAACCTGTAACCCTAAAGCCCCTTCTTTAAACTTACATAGGATTTTGGGCAGAGGTTAAGGGAAGGTGTGGCTGTGATATGCTTGGGCCAGTGTTGGGCACAGGGTGGGATCCTTTGGAATGGGGCGTTAGCCTTCTGAGCTTGTTCAGACAATGAGGTGGGAGACGGCTAGTGGGGACTGCAGGGGCAGACACAGAGGCCTCTCCAGCTCTCCTAAAGGCTAATGCTGGGGTTCAGGAGGATTGTTGCCAGGCTACTAGTGGCCCACCCAACTGCCATTCCACCTTCTTCATTGCACTAACATTTTCATCTGGGCAGGGATGTAGCAAGCCCAGGGAATGACTCTTGATTGATTTAAGCCAACTGGCAATCCCTTTCCTCCTTTTTGGTGGGGGTAGAAGTGGTCACATTACCCAGTCTTAATGAGATGAGACTTTACGGGACATTTCCCTCTCCGATGGAAGATGAGAGCAGAGCAAAAAGAAAGCCTTTTTCCTTGGTCCCCTTCCCACCCTTCCTCTTCGTATGTGAAGATGAGACAGCTGGAATTGTGGCAGCCATATTGTGATTAGGAGGCAACTACCTGGAAGACAAAAGTTAGTACAGTAAGGATGAGCGAAAGGAATGAAAGAGTCCCACACTCGGGACTTTCCTGTGGGCTTTGCGTTAGGCCAGAGGCAGCTGGCCTAGCCTGTGAGCCGTGGGGGGAGATAAGAGGATCTTTGGGAATCATTACCCAGAGAGGAGACTAGCTTAGTTCCATGAGCACCTTGGCTTGAAGGGTCACCCAGAGACTGAGTCTTTTTTTTTTTTTTTTTTTTATCCTCACCCGAGGACATTTTTCCATTCTTTGTTCAGGTAGAGTGGGAGGGAGAGAGAGGAACAGAGAGAGAGAGAAACATCGACGTGAAAGGGACACATCGAGTGGCTGCCACCCGCACAACCGACCAGGGCCGGGGACAAACTGCAACCGAGGTACGTGCCCTTAGCGGGAACCGAACCCGGGTCTCTCCGGACCACAGGCCGATGCTCCAACCGCTGAGCCAAACTGGCCAGGGCCAGAGACTGGGTCTTTAGGGTACTTACTCAAGCCTTTCTATTCCTAAAACAAGAGCTGGTTTCTGGGTTGTCGGTCCTTCCCCCGGATGTGCCTCCCTCCTTAGAGCTGGGAGCAAAGAGTGCCAGAGCCGGAGCTTGAGTTCTCAGTGCAGTCTGACCTTGCAGCCGCGTACTCTGACCCCGAGCAATTCACTGCTCCTTTCTGGACCTCACTTGTACCCTCTGTAAAATGAGGAGGTTGGGCTAGATCAATGGGCTTCAAACTGGGTGCTGAGGAATACTGAAGGGTTCCCTTTGATGTTCTGTCCATCACCGGGGAGAATGAGGGGAGAGCGACTGGGACGCTTTCCACTGATATGTTTCGTGAGTTGAATTTTTGTTTTTGGTTTTTAATTTTTTTTTTTAATCCTCACCTGAGGACTTTTTTGTATTTATCTTCAGATAGAGCGGGAGGGAGAGAGGGGGGAAGAGAGAGGGAGAAACATTGGTGGGAGACAGACACATCAACTGGCTGCCACCCACACGACCCCAACCAGGGCCGGGGACAATCTGCAACCGAGGTACGTGCCCTCAGCAGGAACCGAACCTGGGACTCTCTGGTCCGCGGGCCGATGCTCTAACCACTGAGCCAAACCAGCCAGGGCGTGAGTTGAATTTTTGTGTAAAATTTTGTCTGCATGAAAAGACTTTGCTGCTATTGGGAAAAAAAAGGCCTGGGCTAGACGCCCTCTGAGAAGCCACACTTGGAGGCTCCACCAGCTGTGGGAAGGTGGCATGCTGTCTCCCTGGCTGCTGGTGGAGCCTTGGGGTGAGGGTCAGGCTGTGCGTGTACCAGGCCCCTCGGTCAGCTTCCAGGATGGAGGGCAAGAAGACCCATCCTTGGAAATGGGATCCCTGTCCTTGCTTCTTACACTGACATTTTTTTTTTATGATAAAATATGTATAAATAAAATGTACCATCTTAGCCATTTATAGATATGCAGTCCAATGGCATCAAGTTCATTTATGTGATGCAACCATCACCACCATTCATCTATAGAATTATTTTCAACCTTGTAGAACTGAAACTTTGTACCCATTAAACAATAACTCCCTGCTCCCCCTCCACCAGCTCCTGACAACTACCATTCTATGTTCTGTTTCAGTAAATTTGGCTGCTTTAGGTACCTTACATAAGTGGAATCACATAGTATTTGTCCTTTTGTGACTGGCTTACTTCACTGACACCGTGTCCTCAGGGTGCATCCGTGTCCGTAGCGTGTGGGAGAATTTCCTTCCTTTTTAAGGATGAATACTATTCCACAATGGGTAACCACAGTGTGCTTATCCGTTCATCTGTGCATGGACACTTGGGTTGCTGCCACCTTTTGGCTGCTGTGAATAATGCAGCTGTGAACACAGGTGTTACACTGACTTTTCCCTCCTTTTCCTGCAGCTCCTTTATGAACAGGGCATCAGCCTCAGGGCCTCCTTCATCTTTCTCTCTGTCTGCAGTGCCTGGCATGTTGGGCGTACCTTCCTCCTGATGCCCCGGGGGCAAATCCCCTACCCACTGCCCCCCAACTACAGCTATGGGTAAGGACTGTGATCTGGCGATGGTGGGCCAGAGCCCTTAGGTGATCTGAGGTAGGAAGCAGGGGGCGGGAAAGACAGGGATGGCGATAGTAGGGCAGAGAGCCTGTCACAGAAGAGGACGACTAGAACCGAGGTGTATCAATTAGCTATTGCTGCATAACAAACAACCCTGAAACTCGATGGTCTAAAACATCAAGCCTTTATTATTTTTCACAAGTCTGTGGGTAGCTGGCTAGTTCATCTGACTGGGGACAGACTTGAGTGATCTTGACAGGGATCACTCATGTCTCTGATCATCTGTCTGGTGGACTAGCTGGGGGCTGGCGGCCTACCTTGGCAGTCATTTGAGGTGACAGGGATGTCTGGGTCACCTGGCTCTCATCTTCCAGCAGGCTAGCTTGGGCTTGTTCCCATCATGGTGTCAGGGTTTGAGAGTACAGAGGTGCCCAGGGTTTCCTAAAGTTGAGGGTTGGAATTGGTACATCGTATCTGCTGCGTTTTGTTGGCTGGAGCAGCTGCCAAGGCTGAGGGGTGGGGGACAGTCAGAGCTGCAGCCCCACTGTACCCTCTGGGGCATGGGGGGGGTGTGAAGGAATGTGACCACTTTGCAGCTCATCGCCGCAAGCAGCAGAGGGAGGGCATGCGTTGGCCACTCCCTCGTATTTGCAGACCCACAAGCTCTCTGGTTCCAGCTCATGATCATCCTCTCAGTTCTGTGTTCTCAGCTCCATTTTCCAAATGGGACATCGAAGCTCAGAAGGGTTGAGTCTGAGCCACGTTGCCAGCTAGGGAGAGGCAGAGCTGAGATTTGAACCCAGGCCTGTCCCATTCTTCCCAAACTTTGCTGCATACGAGACTCACTAGGATCCCTCAGAGATCTTTGAAAAAGACGCAAGCCTGGCTCCCAGGTGTTCTGACGTCACTGGTCTGGGCTGCGACCTGGGCATTGGGGTCAGGAACAGGATTGCAATGTACAGTGACACTGGAGGTCCACTCTGCTTCAGGCTCAGCTCACAGTCCTCAGACTGGGCTGGGGGGGCTTCTGTTTCCACAGCCTGTGCTCTGGGGATAGCGCCAGAGAGAAGAAGGAAACTGCAGAGTCCAAAATGATGGATCTACAGTCCCAGGAGTTTCTGTCACCAAAGGAAGGTGAGCCCTGCTGGGTAAGCCATTTCCCCTTCAGCCTGGCCTTTCCCTGCGGCTGACCTGGCTCCTCACCTCCAGCTCCCCGCCAGGGACTCAGATGCAGGAAAAGTCAGGTGGAGAAAGGACCTGTAGGATCTTCTCAATCCCCTCATTTGATAGAGGGTCAAGAGAGGGTTAAGCCTTTTGTCCCGTCTCTGTTTTCTATCCCTCTTTTCTCTCTTTCTCATCTCATCACCTCCCTACTCCCTGAAGTCCATCTTCCATCATTGTCTTCCTTTCCCCCAACTTCTCAGTCCCAAGTCTGGCTTATTCTCATTTCTGCAGGTCCCCTGGGTCTGCCCTCTCTCATTGTTGCGTCTCCATTGCTGCCTCCTTTCCCTCCTCCATCTGTTTGGGTCTTTGGTACAAACATCACTACCTACTGCTGCCCAAAGCAGAAACAAGAATAGGATTCTGGGAAGCTCCCCAAATTACGGGAACTTGCCAGGCTACCAGGGAGAGTAGAACCAGGGATCCCAGTCCAAAGTCACAGCCAGTCTGCCTCTCCGGGAAGAACCTTCATTGGTCCCCCTTGGAGGAGGCACAGAATACGTGACTCCCAGTCCCAGCGGGACCACGGAGGACAGGGCAGGGGATTTCCAGAATAGACCAGGATCCTGGGACTGAACAAAAGCGAGGTGTCTGCCACTGACCCTTGTCTTCTCGTCTTACTTTTCACCGTCTTGGCTGAAAGATCAGGATGAAGTGTTAGTGCAAGAAGTGGTGTTGAAGCCAAGCTGTGAGAGACGGATGAGCTTTCAGCAGGCGGAGAGCACAGGGAGTGTCATTCAGGTTGTTTGGGCCGATGGCACAGGCGTAGAGTGGGGACGTGTGTGTTGTAGACAGCTTGGAGACCTGGCCGGATGAACTCTGGGAGGTGAACTTGGATCTCAGCACCACTTGGGCCTCTGCATTCTTGCCCATCTCGCCCTCCACTTGCCTTGTAATTCATGCCCAGACCCTCCTTTCCAACAGAGATCCCAGGACCAGGACAGCTGGAGGAACCCCGTTCTTTCTGGAGCTATGTTTTCTCCCGGCGCTTTGCCTGGCACCTGGTGTGGCTGTCTGTGATACAGCTGTGGCACTACCTCTTTATTGGCACCCTCAACTCTCTGCTGACCAACCTGGCCAATGACGACAGAGCACTGGGTATGTGGCAGGGCTGGGAGGCAGCCCATCTGCATATCCCACTGGGGACTTGGAACCTTGAGAGTGCTGGGTGCTGAGCTCTGCAGGGCTCTGTGCTCCAGAGGGAGGTCTGAGCAGGGGCGTGGGGAGGAAGGTCAGGCTGGGTAAGGGCAGGGTGAGAAGAGTCCTGTCCTGTAAGGAAGGCCTGGAAATTTCTTACCACCCGACCCATCTCTGTCCTCTGCAGTCAGCAGCTACACAAATGCCTTTGCCATCACGCAGTTCTTTGGAGTGTTCTGTGCCCCCTGGAACGGCCTGCTCATGGACCGGCTTAAACAGAAGTACCAGAAGGAAGCGAAAAAGACAGGTGAGACATGGGCTCCAGAGAACCAGGGAACCAGGAGGGGAGAGGTCTTCACTTACCTGCACGCCCATCTTCTCTTCTCTTCTTAATCCTTTTGTACTTGCATCCGTCTATCTGTTCGTCCATCCATCCCTCCATCCATCTGTCCATCTGTCTGTCCATCTGTCCCTCCGTCCATCTGTCCATCCATTCGTCCACCATCCACTTGCCTCTAGTCACCGAGTGTCAGTTATGTGGCAGCCACAGTTCCAGCTTCAACAATGGACAAGGCAGATATGACCTTGTCAAGCTGTTCTCCGTCTAGAGACTGGAGAGGGGCAAGGGGCAGTCCTGGCAGTCTGTGAAGTAAGCCCTCCGTGGGCTATGGGGACATGAAGAAGTGCGGGAGAGGATGGAATTGGGAAGGCTTCCAGGGAAGGCTTCCTGGAAGAGGTGGCATCTGAGCCAAGACCTGCAGGATGAATAAAAAGTGAAGAAACGAAGAGGAGGGCCCTGGGAGAACACAGTGGGGTCAAGATGGTGAAGGAGGAGGAAGCATTTGAAGAATCTGGGGAATTTCAGAAAGTGATTCAGACTTGCCAGGGCACAGAGCACTGGGGAGTGATGGGAAGGGGCAGGCAGCACACCATGCCAAGGAGCTTGGACAGGATCCTTGGATATGCTGGAGGAAGAGAGGAGGGCTGAGGCATTTCAACATGTTGGGTTTGGGGTGGGGAGGGGCTAAGGTAGGAGTGACATTCCTCCCACAGTTTCCTCTACACCCCACCCCACTTCCCGTCTCTGCACACACCCCCCCCCCCCCCCCCCGCTGCTGGGTGGAGACATCAAAACATTTCACCTGTAACTATTTCAGTTAGTACCTCTAACAAATAAGGCCTCTTTGACTCACACATCACTATAATATCATTACCACCCCTAAAACAACCCTGATAGTTTCTTAGAATCATCTGAAATGCAGTTCTGTGCAGACTTCCCTAGCTGTTTCAAACAGGCCCTTTTACAGTGGGTCTGTTCAAATCAGGGTCTGCACAGTGTATTTTTGTTTGATGTGCCTCTTCTGTCTTTGGAGATGTGTCCTTCCCTCCCTCTTTCCCCTCTTATTGTTTATTTGTTGAAGAAGCTGGGTCATTTGGCCTGTCAGATTTTCCAGCCTTGGATTTGGCATCCTTTCTGTGTCACTGAAAACAGTCTCTTTGATTGGTGTTTCCCGTAAACAGGCAGATTGGAGGCTGAGGAGAATCATAATACTTTTTGGTGAGAATGATTCAATGGGGGAGCTGAGGGCCTGCCCAGTGGGCCCCTGGTACCATTGTCCCTGCTTTATGACATTAGAATTGATCAATGGGTTCAGACTTTGTCAGTCTGATGGCCCATTATAGTTTCCCATCAGCTGCCTGCTTAATGATTTTAGCCACCATTGATGATCAATGCCCAGACCCATTATTTTATTTGGGTTACAAAATGGTGATTTTCTATTTGCTGTCTTCCCTTCTGCTTTTAATAGCTAGAATTCCTCTAGGAAGAAAAAAACTTTCCCTTATGATCTGTTTGTTATCCTGAAATAAATGCTTGGTTTTTTCTCTGTTTACGTTTCATAACAGTGAGGTTGCCTTAGCAACCTCTAGGGTGACTACTCATTATTTGTCTTTAAAAGTTTCATTTTAGCCCTGGCCAGTTTGGTCCAGCGGTTAGAGCGTCGGCCTGCGGTCCGGAGAGACCCGGGTTCGGTTCCCGCTAAAGGCACATACTTCGGTTGCAGTTTGTCCCCGGCCCTGGTTGGTCGTGCAGGTGGCAGCCACTCGATGTGTCCCTTCACGTCAATGTTTCTCTCTCTCTCTCCCTTCCTCTCTCTCCCTCCCACTCTATCTGTACAAAAAATGGAAAAATATCCTCGGGTGAGGATAAAAAAAACAAACAAAAAAAAGTTTCATTTTACATATATTTGAATGTGTGTCAATCTATTTCTATCAAAATTCTTCTTGATGCTCGAATTGTCCCATCTTTGGCCATTGGGAACTTTACCAATTCAGTATCTGTGACCTTTAGATGTAATCCTATCAGTTTTAGAGGGTGTCTTTACTTTCTAGCATAATCAGATTTTCAGGTCTGTTTCATTGGGTCTGTTTCCTGCCCCAGACCTGAAGCCAGCCATTTTCCCAGGTAGCCCAGATCAGGTCCCTTTAGTGGGAAGTGGTATTTAAAGACTGCAGTCTGGATGCTACTGTTTCTAATTATCCTTGGTTGTCATTGCTTTTAGGCCTTGGATAGAGGTAAGATAGACACAATATTTTAGACAAAAAAAATACATCATGAATACTTAATTTTTTTTTGCTACGTTCCCCTAGTGGGAACCGAACCCAGAACTCTTTGGTCCTCAGGCCAACGCTCCAACCGCTGAGCCAAACTGGCCAGGGCTTAATTTTTTAATTAATTAATTAATTATTTTTAAATATTTATTGTTGAATGTAGAATGTATTACAGATGTTCCTCATTCCCCCCACCCCCATTGACCCCCTCCTCCCCACTCCTGCCCCCCTCCTGCCTTTTCCCACACTGTTGTCTGTGTCCATTGATTATGCATATAAGTTCTTTGGTTTATTTCTTCCCACCCCCCAACCCCTTTCCCTTTGAGGTTTGTCAGTCTAGCAATGAATTTGTACTTCTTAATCCCTTCACCTTTTTCACCCATTTCCCCCAACCCCCCTCCCATCTGGCAACCAACAAAATGTTCTCTGTATCTATGAGAATGTTTCTGTTCTACCTGTTCATTTTGTTTGTAGATTCCATTGTTGATAGATATGTATTCATTGCCATTTTGTTTGTTCATATATTTTATCTTTTTCTTCAAAAAGACCCTTCATCATTTCATATAATAACGGTTTGGTGGTGATGAACTCCTTTAACTTTTTCTTGTCTGGGAAACTCTTTATATGGCCATTGATTCTAAATGACAGCTTTGCAGGATAGAGTAATCTTGGTTGTAGGTTCTTGCTCTTCATCACTCTGAATATTTCTTGCCACTCCCTTCTGGCCTGCAAAGTTTCTTTTGAGAAATCAGCTGACAGCCTTATGGGAACTCCCTTGTAGGTAACTAGCTGCCTTTCTCTTGCTGCTTTTAAGATTTTCTCTTTTTCTTGAACCTTTTGCATTTTGATGATGATGCGTCTTGGTGTGGGCCTCTTGGGGTTCATCTTGTTTGGGACTCTCTGTGTTTCCTGGACTTGTATGTCTGTTTCCTTCACCAAGTTAGGGAAGTTTTCTGCCATTATTGTTTCAAACAGGTTTTCAATTTCTTGTTCTCGCTCTTCTCCTTCTGGCACCCCCAAGATGCGATTGTTGGCACGCTTGAAGTTGTCCCAGAGGCTCCTTACACTCTCCTCATTTTTTTGGATTCTTTTTTCTTTTTGCTGTTCTGATTGGGCGTTTTTTGCTTCCTTAGATTCCAAATCAATGGTTTGCTTCTTGGCTTTACCTACTCTACTATTGAATCTGTGTAAATTATTCTTTATTTCAGTTAATGCCTCCTTCATTTCTGACTGTGCATCCATCATTTCTGACTGGTCCTTTTTTATGCTCTTGAGGCCCTCACTAAGTTCACTGAGGTTCTCACTAAGTTCATTGAGCATCCTTATAAGCAGTATTTTGAACTCAGCATCTGTTAGGTTGCTTATCTTCATTTCGCTTAGTTCTTTTCTTGGGGTTTTGTTCTGTTCTTTCATTTGGGACCTGTTTCTTTGTCTCCTCATTTTGGCTGCCTCCCTGTGTTTGTTTCTGTGTATTACTTAACGAGAGGTGTGGGTCTAGCTGAGACCAGATGCTGCTTATTTGAAAGAATTTAGGAAAAACCTGAAGCAGGATCCAAGACAGGCCAACCCTATGGTTAAGCAAGTGGCAACAGCTTGGGTGGACCTGATAGTTGGGTGGGGCGGGGCGGGGTCTTGGGGAGTCACCAGGGTGGGGCTACCAGTGTGAGCCAGGTTGCTGGAGTCCCAGATATGGTAACTGTCTGCCGCTCCAGGGAAGGGCTCACCAAAGGAACAATACTCTCTGACAGCACGTTTGTCCCGGGGAAAGCCCCCTCTCCAGCCTTCGCTCCAGTGCCATATAGCTCAGTTCTTTTCTTTATGTCTCTGGTGCCCCTCGAGCTGCCTCCCCTCCAAGCTTAAAGGGAGAGCGTCCAATAAGTCCGTGTGTGGGCCCTTTAAGGAGCTGCCTGGGGCTCCAGCCACCTCAGCCTCCCTGAGCCTCAGTTCCCGCTGGTTTTTCCAGCCAGAAGTTATGGGGATTCTCTTCCTGGCACTGGAACCCTGAGCGGGGCACCTGGTGTGGGACGGTGACCCCCTCAGTCCTCAGGGAGGACCTTCCCAGCCGAGGTGTCCTCCTGATTTTTATCCGCCACACGTGGGTGTGGGACCAGCCCGTCTGCCTCCGCCCCTCCTACCAGTCTGGATGTGGCTGCTGCTTTAATTCCGTAGTTGTAGGACTTTCATTCAGCTTGATTTCAGGTGATTTTGAATGATGGTTGTTCTGTAGTTTAGTTGTAACTTTGATGTGGTTGTGGGAGGACGCGATACTGCGTTTACCTACGCTGCCATCTTGACTGGAAGTCTAATTTTTTAATTATTGATTTGAGAGAGAAACACATCGATGTGAGAGAGAAACATTGATCGGTTGCCTCCTGCACATACCCTGACCAGGGATTGAACCTACAACCTGGGTATGTGCCCTGACTAGGAATTGAACCCACCAACTTTTGGTGTATGGGAAGACTTTTGGTGAGCCACATCAGGCATGACTACCTAATATTAATATTTTAATTTAAATTTTACTTCCTTGATTTTACATTTGTATCTCTTTCCTCTTGAAATTGTTGTTTCTAATAGTACTATGTACATATATTATGTATACATACTATATACTACATACATATATGGTATTTTAAAAATATATTTTATATATAATTACTGGTTTAGCAATATCAATAATTTTTTAATTTTTCTTTTTCTTTTTTTTAATCCTCACCTGAGGACATTTTTCCATTTTTTGTTCAGATAGAGAGGGAGGGAGAGAGAGGAAGAGAGAGAGAGAAACATCAACGTGAAAGGGACACATCGAGTGGCTGCCACCTGCACGACCAACCAGGGCCAGGGACAAACTGCAACCGAGGTACGCGCCCTTAGCGGGAACCGAACCCTGGTCTCTCTGGACCGCAGGCCGATGCTCTAACCGCTGAGCCAAACCGGCCAGGGCAATTTTTATTTTTCAATTAGTCAACATTCTCTCTCTCTATATATATATATTTTTTGATCCTCACCCAAGGATATTTTTTTTTTTTTTTTATCCTCACCTGAGGATATTTTTCCATTTTTTGTACAGATAGAGTGGGAGGGAGAGAGAGGAAGGGAGAGAGAGAGAGAGAGAAACATCGACGTGAAGGGACACATCGAGTGGCTGCCACCCGCACGACCAACCAGGACCGGGGACAAACTGCAACCGAAGTACGTGCCCTTAGCGGGAACCGAATCCGGGTCTCTCCAGACCGCAGGCCGATGCTCTAACCGCTGAGCCAAACTGGCCAGGGCACCCAAGGATATTTTTACATTAATCTTCAGATAGAGCTGGAGGGGGAGAGAGAGAGAAACATCAATGTGAGAGAGACACATCGATTGGTTGCCACCTGCACAGCCCTAACTGGGGACGGGGAAGAACCACAACCGAGGTACATGCCCTTGGCCAGGACTCTTCGGTCCATGGGTGATGCTTTTACCACTGACCCATACTGGCCAGGGCTGACATTCAATATTATATTAGTTTCAGGTGTACAGCATAATCAATATTATTAATAATATAATTGCTGCAGGCTGTTCCTTCCTTCCTTCCTTCCTTCCTTCCTTCCTTCCTTCCTTCCTTCCTTCCTTCCTTCCTCCCTCCCTCCCTCCCTCCCTCCCTCCCTCCCTCCCTCCCTCCCTCCCTCCCTCCCTCCTTCCATTCCCATCCCTAGGCTTTCTCCCATAAGGGATGCACAGTCAAATTACTGTGTGCTACAAGCCACCAACCTGATACAAAGTTATGTTCATTGGTTTCATTTTGCTTCTGATTTTTTTGGATTGTTTTATTACTATTATTTTTATTTAGAAACATTTACCTATCAAACATTTACATTTTTCCAGAGCCAAAACTGTGAAACAAGATATATTCAAAGACATGTAGTTCCCCTTGCTGCTCCCTGTATTGCATTTCTTCCTTCTGTGTTTGGTAATTATTTTATTGTTTTGTTTTTTTCCCTTAAAGAAAGGTTATAGCTCTGGCCGGTTTGGCTCAGCAGTTGGAGTGTCGGGCTGCGGTCCAGAGAGACCTGGGTTCAGTTCCCACTAGGGGCACGTACCAAAACAAGAAAGAAAGAAAGAAAGGCTAAACAGCTATACAGCCCGGCCAGGGTGGCTCAGTGGATTGAGCGGTGTCCCATGGACTGAGAGGTCCCAGTTCGATTCCCAGTCAGGGCACATGCCCGGGCTGCAGGCTTGATTCCCAGTACGGGGCGTGCAGGAGGCAGCTGATGGATATTTCTCCCTCACATCGATGTTTCTACCTCTCTAAAAAAATCAATAAAAACAAAAAATAAAGAAAGTCATATACATGTAATTTCTCCTTTTCTTAGGTAAGAGGCAGCACACTGCACAGCTTGCTCCACGGTTTTCTTTCTGTGTAACTGTCGACCGAGCGTAAACGACTCGGGAGACCTCGCTGGAATCAAATGACAAAGTTCTCTTCGAGGTCTGAAGTGAGGGAGTTACAATTTTGGAGCGCTCTCGGGCAGTACCCAGTGTCCCGAAGAAACAGTTGAGCGTTTTTATGGCCCAGAGCACATTCTCGAGGAGACAGTCCTGCATCCTTGGCGCGGCCCCCAGGTGCGGACAGCATTCTTTCCGAGCCCTCCAGACGGTCCTCACTTGGCTCTCCGCACCCCCAAGCACTGATGCACCAATGAGACGTTCCAGTTTCCAGGCCGAAGTAAAACAAAATCCTTTTGCTCACGTTTCCGCCCACTCGGGTGTTTGTTTCTCCATTCTTTCCTCACCCCTGTCCTGTTCCACAGGCTCTGCCCTCCATCCTCTAGCTGCTGCCTGGGTCTCTGGCAGGTGGCTGCCCGGGGTTGCAGCATTCTCCTCTTGGTGGCTGTTTGGATGGTTTCCAGACTTTGGCTATTCCCTGTCGTGCTGCCGAGAATATCTGGCTTTGGGGTGGAGGGGCCAGAGCCGATGCGGAGCCCGGGGAAGAGGGCATTGTAATAATCTGTGAACGAGTTGGTGGTGGCCTACAGCCAGGATGAGCCAGTGGGGACGGAGGGGAGTGGATACATTTGAAGGATAGTTAAGAGGTGGATTAGCAACATTTATTGATGGACTGGAGATGGGGCATGTGGGAGAAGGAGGATTCAAGAACAACCCAGGCTTCTGCCTTGGTGGTTGGGTGCCTGGTGGCTCCTTGCTTTCCCCATCTCCTTGTCCTCCGTGGCGCCCCCTCCAGGCAGCCTTTCCTCTTTCCTTCTGGACCAGGTTCTTCGGCCTCAGCAGCAGCCCTTTCCTCAGCGGTGCCTTCGCTGGCCCTGACATCTTTGCTGTGCCTGGCCTTCGCCCTCTGTGCCTCAGTCCCCGTCCTCCCGCTCCAGTACATCACCTTCATCCTGCAAGTGATCAGCCGCTCCTTCCTCTACGGGGGCAACGCTGCCTTCCTCACCCTCGCGTAAGTGGATCGGAGTGTGTTACATAATGGGAGATTCACTGGGGCAAAAAGAAGAAAGAAATCAGAGGTGAAGATGGACCTGGAGGTGGTCAGGGGAGGGTGACAGGGTCTGGGATCAGGTGTAGGGGGTGATGCCTGGAGGTGGGGGCTGGTGGGAAGGACAGAGTGTTCATGGACGTGCGCCTTCACATCAGCTCCCCCTTCTGCCTCTGTTATCTATCCAGTGAACTCCTATTCACCCTGCAGGGCCCGCTTCTGTTCCAACTTCCCCAGGAAAGAAAGTGTGTTCCTTTCTTTGTGCTCTTGGCACTCAGCCTAGTCTTGCTTCTTCAGAGCACACGTCGCTTGGCATAGAGTGATCTGTTGACGTGTCTGTGTTTTCCTTGAGACCTCCCCAGGCACAGCCTGTGTCGGGGTCCCTGCTGTTTTCCCAGGGCTCGGTACAGTGCCTTCTCTGTGTTCTACAGTTGGAAAAGCTGAGGCACGGCAGATAGGGAAGGGCTGAGTCGGGTGGGTAGATGAAGTCAGGCCTAGGCCAGGCCTCTCTGTGGGGGGTAGGGGCCCCGAAGCTCACTGGAACCCCCTTGTCTCTCCCCAGTTTCCCCGCGGAGCACTTTGGGAAGCTCTTCGGGGTCGCGATGGCCCTGTCAGCCATTGTGTCTCTGCTGCAGTTCCCTATCTTCACTCTCATCAGAGGGCCCCTGCAGAACAACCCGTTCTACGTGAGTACCGTGGGGTCACTCTGTGGGACCCCAGCAGGGCGCACCCCCAGACCAGACAGCATCCTGACCACTGCACAGCTCTGTTAGCTTCATTTTTAAAAGGTCCGCGAAGTGCAGGAGTTCCGATCAGTCACTGGGAGGATAGAAAGAGAGAGAAACTTAAAGCGAGGAGATTGCTAGGCTGGTACTGGACGACCCCCACATAATAATCAGGAGGTGCTGCTCTAGCTGGCCGCCACCACCTTCTCGCGAGACCCTGAGCAGATCACTGAATGTCCTTGGGGCCCCTGTTTGTTCACCCATGAAACGGGCATAATATCCCGCCCCACCCCTCTCCACAGGGCAGAATGAAAAACAACCACTAGTCCCTCCTTGGGGGCACCACAGTGAGTGGAAAAGTGGAAGAACCAGGCAGCGTTCTGGTCCCTTTGTGGGTGGAGGGTGCTGCTCAGTCGCTGGGCTCCATCTCGCTCCTCCCCCTCCCTGCAGGTGAACCTGACGCTGGTGCTGGTCACTCTCCTGACCTTCGTCCACCCCTTCTTGCTGCGCCGGGAATGCCGGGAGAAAGGAGCGCCCCCTGCAGCCCCTTAGTTCAGAAGACCTCGCTTTTCGACCCTTCACATGCTTTTGCTCCTCTTTGTTGGAGAACCCCGTGCCCCAAAAGATGTTGCCTGTTTACACTACTTGTATTAAATAACCATTATTTTCTCTTTTAAAAGAAAGATGGCCCTGGCTGGTTTGGCTCAGTGGTTAGGTCGCTGGGCCTCAGATCCAAGAGTCATGGGTTTGATTCTGGTCAAGGGCACTTACCTCAGTTGCAGTTTTGATCCCTGGACCCAGTTTAGGTCGTGCGGGAGGCAACCAATCGATGTGTCTCTCTCACATCGATGTTTCTCTCTGTCTCACTCCCTCCTTCCCTCCCATTCTATCTGAAAAACTAATGGAAAAATATCCTCGAGTGAGGATTAAAAAAAAACAACAACAGATGTATTTAACTGCAAGCCAAGACTTTTTAAAAAAACATATATATATATATATATATATTTTTTTCCTTGTATTGATTTTTTATTTTTTGTTTTTTATCCTCACCCGAGGACATTTTTCCATTTTTTGTTCAGGTAGAGTGGGAGGGAGAGAGAGGAACAGAGAGAGAGAGAAACATCGATGTGAAAGGAACACACCGAGTGGCTGCCACCCGCACGACCAACCAGGGCCGGGGACAAACTGCAACCGAGGTACATGCCCTTAGTGGGAACCGAACCCGGGTCTCTCCAGACCGCAGGCCTACGCTCTAACCGCTGAGCCAAACCGGCCAGGGCTTGTATTGATTTTTTAGAGAGAGAGGAAGGGAGAGGGAGAGAGAGATAGAAACCTCGATGAGAGAGAACATCGATTGGCCGCCTTCTGCATGCCCCCCACGGGGGTTGGGCCCACAACCTGGGCATGTGCCCTGACTGGGAATCAAACTGGCGACCTCTTGGTGCATGGGACGATGCTCGGTCACTGAGCCACACTGGCCGGACCAGCCAAGACTTTTGATCAGCAAGGAAAGAATCTCAGTTGCCAAGCTGATTGACATCAGACCCGCCGCAAAGGCAGGTGGAGGTCCTCAGTTCCCGAGCAGGGAGCCCAGGGCCTTGGCAGGCTGGGCCCGAGGGGAGGTGATGCGATGCTTGGCCCTGAGCCCATGTGTGCCTGGGTTCTGTGCTGCCCAGTGGTTGCCAGGTGAAGAGTGAAGTTGTCACGGCCTCAGCTATGCTGCCTGGCATCTAGAGGTGGCACCCTCACAGGCACAGCTTGGGGAGAGGATGGCAGGGAACCTCAGGGAGAAAGGGGAGCAGACAGGGTCGGGGTGGGGTCCCTGATGCTGGATGATCTTATGCAAACCCTTGTCTGGTCTAAGTATCAGTTTTTCCATCTGGAAAATGAGAGGGCTCTGGAGTTGGAGGTTCTTTCCAATGTATGAAAAGGCTTTAAGAACAGTGACAGAGCCCAATGGTTAGAGCATCAGCCTGCGGTCCAGAGAGACCCGGGTTCGGTTGCCACTAAGGGCGTGTACCTCCGTTTCAGTTTGTCCCCGGTCCTGGTTGGGTCGTGCGGCTGGCAGCCACTCGATGTGTCCCTTTCACGTCGATGTTTCTCTCTCTCTCTCTTCCTTCCACTCTATCTGAACAAAAAATGGAAAAATGTCCTCAGGTGAGGATAAAAACAAAAACAAAAAAACAGTGACAGAGTCAGGCCACCCGAAGAGCCTTGGGAACCAGCTGACCTGCTCGACTGAAGGATTTCTGACGAAACTTTTGGGCATGTTTTTGTCTTCCAGAAGGGGGGTGATTGCTTATAGTGTTAAATAACAACGTTCCCTGAGGGATAATTTGAGATAAATAAAGCATCTCTGCAGAAGACAACCACTGCTCGGCCTCTCCAGGCTTTGGGGTTGCGGGTGCATGTGTGTGCATGTACGTGTATGCGTGTGTGTTCCTGCCCAGTGCCCCAGCCGGGGGCAGTGAGTGCCCACATGGAGGTGGAGGAATCTCTTCAGTGTGCTGGTGTGGCAGCTGGACCCACAGGTGGGGCAGAAGCCCTGGGACTGGGATCCCCCCATCTGCTCCTGGGACATGGGCTTGAGACCCCCTTCCCCTCAGGAATCGCTTCCTTTGCCTCCTCTCCCTCCCCACCCTGCCTCCCCCTCAACACTGCACTAGAAACACCAGGTGGAGTGAGAAGGTCCCCATGTGAGTCCCACTTCTGCCTCTGGGCAAGTCCCTGCACCGTTCTGAATCACAGTTTCTTCCCCTGCAAAGTGCAGTTAATCATTTCTCTCTCGGAGGGCACTGGTGAGAATTTAAAGTAATTGCTACAGCTTAGCATGTGGTGAGAACACATGAGAGTTTGTTCCTTTATTTACCCATGGCCAGAGAGGACAGGGTGGCAAGGAGGGAGAGGGTGAGGGACTGGGGGGGGGGGTAGGTGGGTGAGAGCCAGACGGGAGAATCTGGAACACATTAGATGTTACATCCCACTTAGGCGGGAGAGGAACTGGGAGAGGACAGTGAAGGGAGGGGGCTGGCAGTCGTTCATTCATTGTCGTTCATTCAACAAATGTTCACTGAGCCCTTACAGCGGGTCAGTATGGTCCTAGCTGTTGGGAATTGAGAGGCACAGGGTCTGGCGCCAGCTCTTCTCTGGACTGCTGAAGGGTGGTTTCCAGGGGCCTGGGAACCGGGGTCTGGAGGCAGACACCAGCGCACTGATGGTGTCTTTCATCGAATCTTGCTCAAAAACGTTCCCGTGTTTGTCTTCAAGAAGGCTCCCTGCTGCCCCCACACAGAGTCTAGATTCCAGCCTGGCATTCAAAGCTCGCAGCAGTGTGATGGCAAACCCTCTCTTTCCCCTGCCTCTTCCCCTCCCACCTCCAGGCACACGGCCCCTGGTCTCTGGCCTGTGAACACACCAGTTTCTCTGCATGGGGGTGGGGGTGCTGCGTCTCTGCCGGGGAAACCTGCTTGGTCCTCGGGGGTCCTGTTCAAAATGCCATCTCCTCTAAAAATATTTTCGTGGGCTCTCCAGCAGCTCTGGGTTCCTGGAACTTGGTCACACCCTTCCTGGTGACTGGCATCTGGGTTCTCGAATGACAACCTCTAACCTGGACAGCCAGCCCCAGGAGGCGACATCTGTGACTCACTGGCTCAGTGACTAATGTGTGCTCACCTGAGTGGCGCCAGTTGAGTAACAATTGCTAGGTGAGTGGATTCTTTCTCTTCTGGCTTCTGAGTTAAGAGGAAGAGAGCAGAGCACCGGGGAGGAGGGGCAGCAAGGTGTAGCGGGAAAATGTGGAGGGACCAGGCCAACCCTTTTTATATCCCAGCTCCGTCACTGCTGTGAGCATTGGATGGGCCACCACCTCTACATCTCAGTTTTTTGTTTTTTTTTTAAACCTTTGCCCTAGGATATTTTCCCATTTATCTTCAGATAGAGTGGGAGGGAGGGAGAGAGAGAGAAATATCAATGTGAGAGAGAAACATTTATTGGTTGCCTCCTGCGTGACCCTGACTAGGGCTGGGGACCAAACCGCAACCGAGGTACGTGCTCTTGACCAGAATCAAACCCACGACTGTTTGGTCCGCAGTCCGACGCTCTAACCGCTGAACCAAACCGGCCAGGGCTGCAGCTTAGTTTCTTAATCAGCACGGTGGGAGAAATAGACCTGGTTCCCTGGACAGCTGTAAGGTTTAGAAATTAGGTCAAGTGCCTACACATGGTAGGTTCTCGACAGGTCCCAGCTGCCATTGCAGCTAATAGATTAAATTCAGAAAGGGTGCCGAAGGTCCACCAAATGGTGACTGGAGAAATAAAACGTGGCAGGTGCATACACTGGAACGTGCCTCGGCAGAACCAAGCGGAGCCCCGGTTCCAGCTCTCCCAGGGATCAGCCTTGAACACTTGACGCCCAGTGCAGGAAGCCGGTCACAAGAGACCCATGCCGTGCCATTCCATTTGGCACATCTCTAGAGGCAGAAAGTACATTAGGGATTGGCGGGGCCGGGGGAGCAGGTAATGACCGCCAGGGGGGAAGGGGGCTCCTTTTTAGGGTGGTGAGCATTTTCTCAACTTGATAGTAGTTGCACAATTCTGAAAGGTACTAGAAACTATCGAATTCAATGCTTTACGTGGGTTAATGAAACACTTTGTGTGCATTATATCCCAGTAGAGATGAGATGCATATTTACCCCAGATGCCTGGGCTACTCGGGAAGCACAGGGAACAGTCATATCCAGGGAGAGTCAGAGGTGATTCCTGGGCAAGATGAGTGAGCGAGGGAAGCAGCCCATGTGCACAGCCTCCTGTTTCTGTCCGGAGAGCCTGCCCCCTCTTCCTCTAACGGGACCAACCGCTCTTTCAAAGGAGGAAGACAGCAACCCAGGAGTTTCACAAGTTTTGATTTCACTTGGCAGCAGGCTCCCAGCACAACCCTCCTCTCCCTTCCAGCCCCAGCAGAGAGAGACGGGGGCCAATCTGCCCCTCCGCAGCCCCCTGCCAGGCGGGGCCTTCCCTGGGGGCACCTGCCACGTAAAGGACAGCGGACAGCCGGCAGCGTGAGGGAGGGACTTCGTGTGACCATCTCCATCCTCAGACCCGGTTTGCTGGTGAGCAAGTCAGGCTCCAAGTGACACATTTTGTCGGAGATCGTCCAACCCGTGCCTGGGGAGGCTAGTATGTAAACCCACAGTTGTCTGGCTCCTAAGGTCATGTTCGACTTAGGTATTCCCTTTTCCTTACTTTCATTCTTATACAAAACACACGCGGTTGTAAAACAGCAGAAAACAAAGGACTACCTGAAAATCAAGTCTCGCCGCTCAGAAGAACGCTGGTGCACAGGCGGGCACGTGCCTCTGAGTCATGCGAGTGTGTGTGTGTGTGTGTGGTGATCATGGCGATGACCCCATCAGCTTTTCTTTATGTCATCAAACAGTCCTCAAAAACCTGATTGTGAACAGCTGCTTACAACCCCATCCATGGCCACATCACACCTCCTGTATCCCTCACCCACCCGCCTGCCCTGGGTTTCCCGTCACGTACATCTTGGGATGCGGTGTCCCCCACTCCCTGGCTGTTCCCCCTCTGCTGCGTGAGCAGGGGTCCCAGACGATGGCGCGTGGGAGCAGCCGAGGTCAGCAGGTGGGAGAACATGAGTGATATTGGAATCCAGGGAGCCAGCTATTGCCAGAGAACCACTTTAGAAGTTTCTAGGAATGCGGATGCATCATCCATTAATCGTTGTTTGTTAATCT